AGGAGGACGGGAAGGCCAGGGATTGCGCAAAACCGTTCGTCGGCAGGATCTCGCGGCCGCCACCGTCGCCGTTCCTCTCTCGCTCTTTCGCCTCGAAGAGGTGCTCTTTCATCTCGAGACTGCTCGCCAAAAATGAATCCCGTATATAACATGAAGCCTGAGCGATTCCGCCGTTCGAAACCGCGTATAAAAATGCGGTGCCCTTCCACAGGCTGCGTTTTGCCACATGAATTTAAAGCGTGTCCCGACGCTCGCTCCTATCGGAACACCATGGTAATATCCCAGGCGTGGTAAATATTGCACGGCGGAAAGTGTACGATGTGAATTAATGTCAACCGCATGCCTGGGCTCGGTTCTCCTTTTTCCCCCCTTTTATTAATTATTGAATGTGTTTCGCGAGTGCACCGTTTTTGCATGAAAAATAAAGGCAAAAACGCGCGTATCGGAAAGGACGCGCGACAGATTACTCCTTTTTTCTTCTCTCTCGGTTTTTTCTCTCTTTCTCTCTCTCTCTCTCTCTTTACCTTTTTCTCGGCTTTCGATTCCTGTCCGAGCGTGCCGAGATTTAAATGCGTTTTAAAGTTTCACAGCGAAGGCGTGTAAACGGCCCATAATGCCTCGAACGACTCTAGACATCACCTTTTATCTCCCGGTCCTCTCGCTCGCTCACTCGCGGCCGTTCGCTCGCCCATTCATTATTCCGTGAATAAATAATCGCACGACGCGCGCGCGCGCGAAAGACTGATGAAAATTTCAATCGATGGCTTTTCGCCCGTCCACTACTTCAAAATTATTCATCGATCTCCCGCTGACCCGCGTCGCCTCACCGATCTTTCCCGCCTCGCGATATCCTCGACGGTGACGACAATGATGGTTCCCGGAGAAGAAATCCCTCGCGATCGTTTAAATGTTACAAAAAGAGAAGTGCGACGTTCAATGGATGAGAAAACGGTTAAAACGATTCTGCTCTCTGAATACTGAAAAAGTCTTAAATCTTCAAATTCCTTCCCTGCTCCCTTTCACTCTTTTTCTCTCGTTTCTTCTCTCTGCTTTAGATTTCGACATATTTGTATATACAGTGTATACACATACGTACATATATATATATACATATCTCTCTCTCCTCTTAAAAATTTTTCACATACCTCTTCTTTATAGAATTTTACAATATAATTTTTTGATGACACGTAATACCAAAATTAAAATGCAGCAGGTATCGTTGTTGATGACGAGTAACCTCTTGCGTTTTTAATTGCACTCTCGTGCATCGAGACACGACCAAATGAATTTACCGAGCTCTCTCTCTCTCTCTCTCTCATTCGAGAGAACGTCCCGGTGAAAACGAGATAAGGACAGAGAGAAAGGACAGAGAAGAGAGAGAGAGAGTCAACTGCGAACTTCCATCGTGTCACGTAGCACCTAATCTAGGTCAACGGAATTGAATTTAGAATACCAGCCAGGCTACCGTAGGCTTATATACCGCTCGGTAGGTTTCCAGCACCGCCTCTTCGCGTAGGCAAAGCGTTCGTTTCCGGGTTCACGGCGAAAAAGACGTGATCTCTCTTGGATTCTGTCAGGTCGGGACTAGCTGGACCAGAACGTAAGAGTGAAAGAGAGAGAGAGAGAGAGAGAGAGAGAGAGAGGGGAAGGGAAAGAGAGAATTTCGGACTTTAAATTAACTGTACAATTTTTCGTACACAGAAAAGACGACACATGCTTGACCCATAGAGCATAGATGTGACAGAAAATATTCAATATCCTAAGTCCAAGAATTCAAGAATATGTGGACATTAATACTACTGTTATTTTTACTGTCAGCATCTGCTGCTGTCGCGTTTTTCATAATATATATAACACACATACGCGAAAAAACTTTTTCAACAATATATTGATTAAAATCGACGATCTTTGTACATTAGAAATAATTTTTATAATAATGATCGAGATCAAATAAATAAAATGTCGCGACCTATTTAAGAATTATGCAAATGTTTCTTTTTAAAGAAACACACTTCTTTATGATTTTTCGTCATTCAGCAATAATTGGCAATTGGTTCTCCTCTTGTCTCGCCAGCTTCCGTTTGTATACACGTCCGTCTCCTGCATAATCATTTGGTAAATAAATTTCAAAAGTTTGCTTGTGCGCATAATATTGAACGGCGCGTGCAGAAAAGACAGAGAGTAGAACAAGCCTAATCCCGCTAATGTCTCGTCGATGTGGTAGTACGTAACGGGACCTAATCGTCGATACGCCCTTTCATCCTCATAGTCGGTGAGCGAGCGAGCGAGCGAGCAAAGCCGAGAATCGGCTCTCGCCTAGAATCTTAGTTGTCTCGCTTCCGTTCGTTTCCTTATCGAAGCCCCGACACACGCACTCAATCGCGATTTCTCTCTTTATCTCCCTCTTTCGTTCTCGTTCTCACTCCTCTCCGCACTTGCGAGTATGCTCTCGCACAAACATACGCGCGGAGGATTCGCGTATGACGCGCGCGCGCTTCTCCTCGTTCCTCGCGCTGCAGGCGATATAGTGTTTTCCATTTAATGACACTAGTATCATTTTGTCCTTGTTAATCATTTGAAAGCCAAGAAAGATAGAACGATACTTGTGTCGACTTGTGTTACTAAATGGAAAGCACCCATAACGTGCATGCCGCTCCGCGAGCGGCCCGATCCTCCTTCGCCGCGCATTTACAGAGCGGAGAATTCCGGGAGCGGAACGCGACGCGCATCGCTCTTCACGCCGGCGATCCCGGGCAGGAAATAATAGCCGAGTGATAGAGTCGAGCGCAGGGAATTTTTATGGCTAAATCGATGTTGCACGCGAGGGTCGCGGCTCGCGGGCAACCGAACGGGACGGCGAACGAGAGAAGGAGCGATGGAGAGAGAGAGAGAGGAAGAGAGAGAGAGAGAGAGAGAGAGAGAGAGAGAGAGAGAGAGAGAGAGAGAGAGAGAGAGAGAGAGAGAGAGAGAGAGAGAGAGAGAGAGAGAGAGAGAGAGAGAGAGAGAGAGAGAGAGAGAGAGAGAGAGAGAGTTTAGAGAGAGAG